GTGTGTGTGTGTGTATGTGTTTGGAGGGGCAGGTTGTTGTGTCGCTCGTCTCTAATGCAATATATGTATGTGCCTTTCAGACTAGCAGCAGCGGTTGCGGCCAAGAGAAGAAGAGAAAGAGAGGAAAAAGAGGAGCAGAGTGATGGACTCCCCTCCCTCCCAAAAGGTCGATGACATCAATAAGAAGCTAATAATCCTGCCTCAAGCTACCTCAGAAGGGCTTGCCAGAGCGCTCCACTGCAGTCTACTCCTTCTCCTCCTTCTCATACATCTCCCTCTCTACATCCCCAGAAGACCACAGGTTGGGTAGGGGGAGATAGAAGGATGGATAGCGAGGTGTTTGGAAGAGAGGGAAAAGAGGCATTTTGCTCTTCCTCACGTTTAGCTATCGATGAGGCCCACTAGGGATCGTCTGCTATTGATTGTGCCTTCTTTTCTTTGGGGCTGTGGTGCTTGTTATGGGCGGCACGTACAGGGGGCTTTGTTGTGTGTGTTGTTGGTGTGTGTGTGTATGTGTGTGGTGTGTGTGTGTGTTGTGTGTGTGTGTGTGTGCGTGTTTGTGAGTGCATACATATGTGTGTGTGTTTGTCTTTTTGCCTCTGGTATTGTTGTTGCCCGCAGTAATTTCAGAAGGTAAGGTAATTAGATGCTTGATTGGGGGGAGCATGAACCAGTCTGCTTCATGGCGTGTACATGCGTGTGTGTTGGGTGTGAGTCACCTGCAAACAGCTCTGCGTTGGTTTACACACGCACAGGGAAGACATGTACCGGATATTAGGTAGCAAGACAATGTCAAGACGATGCCCAAATACAGCAAAATGTGGTAAACTAAATGTCAAGTGAAGCCAGAGCCCCCTCCTAAATTACCTTATGGAAAATAAATCTGATATGATTAACTTTCACTGCACAAAGATCCAAAGACTTTTCATACAGGATGAATCAGAAACACAACATGTGGCCATTAAGATGATATTACATTCAGCTGTGTATGCTTGTTTAGACTCAGACACACACATATATCTCACACATATACACATCGACTTTCCCACAAGAGGAGAAAACCATGATGTCATCCTTTTTATGCCCTCTGTATTACAGTGCTCATTTCCAGTGGTCAAAGTTAACCAACTAATGCCACCTAAAGGTGATTTGTTAGAACTGCATCAGTTAAATGCTTCGGAGGACAATGGATATATACAGTATGAAAGGACTACGCCACCAGTGCATGGCATGAGATTGTATAAAATATACTGAACAATAAGGATATGCCTTCTACACATTGAGAACAGACTGCACCTTTTGTCACAGGGCAGCACAACATATATGTGTAATTTGCCTCACATTTACAATAAAATTCTGTTTGCAGATGTATAATCACGTCCCAACTTTTGTTAATAATAGGTGACACAAATTGTAGAAATTAAAAAAAAATTTCTTATTCTTTTTCCTGCAACTCCAATGGGTATGTTAATGCTTCACATCTCGTCACCTGAATCTCTTTGTCATTATCTGGTTTTAAAGTGAGTTTCTCGGCCTCTCCCTTCTACACACATCCACATGCATATGCGCACACACTGTCGCACACACGCAGACTTGCTACCCTCATGCTGCTTTCTCACCTCTTTGGTGACGTTGTCTTGGACCAGGCTGTAGAGGGGCACCACGCGGCTGACTTCCAGCAGCACAGGGATGGGGGACGGTTGCTCTCCGCTCCTGCTGTTACCATTGCGGCCTCTTCCTGACACTCCTCCCATCATGGCCTGGTGATGGCACAGGTGGCAGCCAGCTGGACAGCTGCCCTTCTCTTCGCAGCGGATCTCCACGCCATTCACCATGTCGTCAGTCAACAGCTGGCTCTTCTGCAGGGCTGACAGGTAGCTGATGAAAGGAACTGACTTCAGCTCACGCCGCCCGCCTCCGCCAACCCCCTGGTCTGTTGCCTCTGGAGGGGTAGGCAGGAGAGGAAGAGAGGGTATGGGTAGGGAGGGGAGATAAACAAAGTTAACAACAAAATAACTTTTTACATTTATTTTCGGAAAAGGGAGGAAAACAGTCACCTTTATTCATTTTCATATGTATTCTTTCCTAATTGTAAAACCAACCCACTCTTCCAACTTTCTCTCATTTTTATTTCCATAAAACAATTTATTTAATCTTTACTTGGAGTAGCAAAGCACATTCACAGTCCCTCAGTTGCACAAAGCGTCCGCATCTGGATTTACTTTTACTTGCTGCCAAGGAAAAGAAGAAAAAACAACAACTAATCCCTTACTGTCATCAGCTCTCATAGACAAAGGATGAATGGGAAAGGGGGAAGGAGGAGGGGTGTCACTGGCTTCTTCTCCTAAGTGTCAATTACCACTATTTGATGTTCTCACTGGAGTTGGGGGGATTCTTTCTCATCATTTCCTCTTTCAGTGGGAAAACAACACACCATGCAGAAAGAACAAGCAACGACAGAAGCAGGGGAGGAGTAAAAACAGGAGAGAATAGAGAGCTACTTGGGTGTTTCACTTGGAGGACACATCTGGCCAAATGTTACAATGGAGCAGATCTGCCATCTGTGGCATCGCATGGATGGGTAACATGTGGCAGATGTGCTTTTTGTGTCTTGCTTTAGAAGGACAGACATCATTTGAGACATGATGTATCCGTAGACAGTGCCACAAAATGTGGAGGAATCACGATGAATGAGAAATGACTGATTTCATTCACCAAACCCTGAATATTGTAATTTAAAAACACTGAATATGTATTATACTTAGGTGTAGGTTGTCAGAGTATTGAATAACCTACGCCCTATGCAGAGTATACTGTTCATATAGAGGCACATGGAGTGATTGATGAGATTACCAATACACACAGTATTACTTAAGTGCACACGCATGCACAGGCCAAGAAAAAACAAGTGAAACCCTGCACCCGAAAGAAGTGCGTAAGACAGCAGGAAAAGCCTGTGACGTTATTCAAGGTGGGGTAATTAGGACCAATTAGTGTTAATAGTTTAAATGACTTATTTCCTGTTAACAGTTTTAATGACAGTGAACTCTAATATCTTTCAAACTATTGTCAGTGGCAAAAACACAACATATATACAGTTCATGAACTCAATAATGTTTGTCTAAGAGAAACAAGTCTAAATGTGTCTACATGTGCAATTTCACTACTGACTCCTGTAATGTCAGCAATGTAACCCAAGACACAAAAAGGGTGTGTAAACTTTCAGCCGTTTATTTCTCAAACACATGCCGACACGTTCAGCATTTCCAGCTCTGAGAAAAACATAACACATGGTGGAGACGTTATCAAGGACTATTTTCTAATTAATATTATTTTCATGGTAAAATCACATTAGGGTCATGTGACATTTCAACCATACAAATACAGCATGAAAAAAACAATACAATGGCTTGGCAATGAAGTTCAGAATTATAAGAAAACAACATCAAGGAAGAAAACTGGTGTATAGCTCATATGCTACACTAAACACACGGTAATGACAATTCACTGCCATATATAGGCAGAAAAAACTGTCTGTAGACAATTTCTGGGAAATACCGGGGTTATGAGTCATGTGGATCTTCTGGTAAGGGAGATATTAAACATATTTATATAACAAATCTGAAATATATTGTCTTCCAACAAAAGATAAACAAACCCTACAATGTATAATATCCAGTAATTAAATGTAAACTACACCTCAGGTCACGGAAACTTCCAAATCCCCCAGAAAAAAACATCAAGGACCCTTATGTCCTCAACTGTAGCTGTGACCCTGGTGTGTGTGTCTATGTGTGAGAGAAAACTGAGTCTGTACATACATCTATGTATGTGCGTCTTTGTGGCTTATTCCTTGTGTGCGTCTTTAAGACACTGGCAAGCAGTCAAAAGGGTGGGTGGTAACTTCATGTGCAACAGTATATAAACAGGCTCAAGGGGTGGCCCAAGAGCCCAATTACATGCACTTCTTGAGGCAACACAGACACAGAAAAGAACTGTTAAAAAAGAGCTCTCACAATAAATCTCTGTAGCTCTGGTTGGCTGTGGCTATCCACTCTTATTTACTCTCAACCCCTTTAACTCATTTCACCCCAGATTGTTTACATCTATGTATGTATTTCATGAAAAGGTTTGGCACTGCCAAGTATTTGTGGAGAGAATAAAACATAGCCATGGTAATTTGATTGTCAGAGTTATCTGACATTTGTAGTCCACACAGGCAATGGTGGAAAGTAATTAAGCACATTTACTCAAGCACTGTACTTTATACTACTACTCCACTACAGAGTCAAATCTTACTTTAACTCCATTACATTCATTTGATAACTTCAGTTACTAGTTACTTTCCAGATTAAGATTAAGAAATAAATGAATTAAGAAATAAATAATGATGATATATTATATAATAAGACTTTTTTGGTCCCCTTGAGGGAAATGTACAAGCTACCCAGCAGTATCTAAGAAATACATATGAAGTAATTAAAATTAGCCCCACATTTACCAGTTGCAGCATGAAAGTGATGTACACATTAATGCATATAATAATAATCATACTCTAATATTAAAATATATACATAATTCTGGAATGGACTAGTCTGCAAAATTATATTTTTTACTTTTGGTATTTTAAGTATATTTTGATGCTAATCCTTTTATACTTTTATTTAAGTAAAAAATGAAATGCATGACTTTTATTTGTAACAGATTACTTCTGCACTGGGATATACTTCTGATCTGAGTACTTCTTACACTTTGGTAATCAGAGTCTCTCTCCCTGCACACATTCTCCCTATTTTGTATTTACTTTTGAACAACTTATTTAACTGTCTTTACTCTAAGTCCCGTTCTGAGACTGGAACTGTTGTAACATATAATTTCCAGCTGCGATCACTGAAGTACTTTGTCTGAATGGCTTTATTTGTGTCGGTTAAATGTCAGTGAAACTGTACATTGCGCAAACTGTGACACCCTTCACAAGGACAAATTAAACTGGACCACGTGTATTTTTGTGCAGTTAAAAGAGTGGCCTATCATTTCAGCTTTTTATAAACTATGACATCTCTTTGCTGTGTGGAATGAATGTGATGCTTATGAAACACTTGCCTGTCATCAAACATAGTGAGGAGATAAATGGAGAGAATTTCCTAGCCATTGATCTCACACTGCCTTTGTTAATTAAAATGTCTTTGTAGACTGGTTGCAGTATAATTACTCATCAGGGACACATCCCCTCTGGCCAGGGTTATGTTGCCCAGGCAACAACAGCAAAGGTGTCAGATATCTTCCATAGCAATTTAATACAGATGTTGTTAGATATGATTACTGTTGGCACTGTTGTTTTTGCTTTATTAAAACATCTACATGCACCACAGACCTTTGATTATAACAGACTATTGTTATCTACAGTAGCTGATATTCTAATTTTACACAGTAATACACAATATTTGGTAAAAAAAAATATATAAATACATCTGTGTGTTAGTTGTACCTTGTCTTCAAAGTACCATTCAAGTTATACTTTGTTATAACTTGCCATATCAGTTATTTGAACAACAGTAACCCCACAGCAGCTGCTTAATAGGCCAAAATATAATATTTATTAAATATGCTAAACGACTGAGAAAATTACATGAGAATTAATGTTTTGTTCCATATTTCTTTAGAACCTGTTTGTTTGTAAAATGTTCCATACTCACTTTGTGTGCATGGTGATGCATGGGCATCTTCTAGAAGACCTATTCTGACATCTAGTGGCCTCTTTATACAATTACTGGCTTATGTCTAAAAACTGAAACACCACATGTGGACGTTTTCAAATGCAATAGCATGCCTATGGGCTACAACTGCTAGACTTATTTTCTCAGTTGCAGGTCTGTTTACTTGTCACTCAAGGTAACTAATCTTACATCTTTGTTCTTCAAAAGATTGACAAGTAGGGTGATGAAGTAGTGGTAGGCCTTTCTGCTGGACAGTAACAGGACTTTAGGTTACAGTATATTTAATTAGTGTTAAACAAACAGCATTCTTGCTGGTATAGGTGTTTGCAGTAGGTAGGTACTGTGCATACAAATCAATAAAATCACTTTGCCTGTCAAACTCTGTTGGGAACAAGACGAATTAAATACAATAAATTACTTTTATCCCTCTTGCTGGACGTTAAATATTAGGACCCCCTGATATTTGACTTCTGATTTTGACTTCAGGACCATTCAATATTATTTTACCAAGCCTACACTGCAGCCAATCAAAACAAGCGTCAGACTCAGAGCCGTGCGTATGACGTAGCAGCCGGGCTCTGCGTACGTGACGTCGTCAACACTGCAGTCTCTCGCTAGCAGCTGCAGAAACACAGCACGCCCATCAAAACCTGTGTACTTCCAGCTCATACTGAAGAAAAGGTAACGTTTTAAAGCAGAAGTGTCACAAGAGAAACATTACGATGAGCCGCATATCCTTTTATGCTCTGCCTTTTTGAATGCACGTTCATCAAAGCCAGCCCTGTTTACAGTGTTGAATAACATTGTGGCGTTCGGTGACGGGACAGCGTTAACGTTTGTTGTTTTGTCGAGAGGGCCTCGGGTTTACTTCACTAAAACGAGGGACCACTCAACGCAATTCGTCTTTGTAAGTGCGGTTTGCAAGGTCAACCTATATTTAGGCAGCAGCAGAGCACGGCGGTGCCTTTGGATAACTTACAACCTAGTTAGCCTGATTATCACATTGCCTGTCACCATCGCGTGGAACGACCGTGTGCCAATTAGCCCACTGATAAACAACAACAGTTGACCGATGAGCCGGCCCACCTGGCGTTATTGTGCTGGAGGGTGCAGTCAGTTGTGTCTGACGTTAGCAAACTGCACATTCTGCTGCCCTACTGTTAATGGTTGTCAGTGAGCGGTTTCCTCGTTAACGGGTCGACCGGTAAGTGCTCTCAGCCTCGTGTTCGTGTCAGCTGCGGTTCCACTGCGACCACTGGCTACTTAGAGACAGAGAGGAGCTGGCGCGCTGTGCTAGTCAGAGTTAGCCCCCGTACTTCGAAAGCTGCAAGCTGGCCTGCTATCAGTAGATGTGTGGCAGTGTTCACAGCTGTGTTATTCATTGTCACACAGTTCCAGTGCACCAGGTTTGGGTGAGGGTCAGACTTTGAGTATCACTTTTCTGTTGCTACAGATTCACTGCATAGTGACTCAATGACTAGAATTTCACACGGAATGGGGAAATCTAACAAAACATAATTCCTTTCCTCTCTCACTCAAGGAAAGGACCATAATGGCGGCAGCATCATCCCCGCTGGACCCAGATCTAATGAGGGAGGTTCTTGAATGCCCCATCTGCCTGGAGACCTACAGCCAGGAACAAATGAGACCCAAACTCCTGCAATGTGGTCACACAGTGTGCCGGCAGTGTCTGGAGAAGCTTTTGGCTAATACTATCAATGGTGTGCGCTGCCCCTTCTGTAGCAAGGTCTCCCGTATGAGCAATATCTCTCAGCTGGCTGATAATCTCACTGTGCTTAAGATCCTAGATTGTACTATATCCTGCAGTGCTGCTGCTGCCGCCCTGATGTGCAATTCCTGCTGCAACCGCCTACCACGACAGTACTGCCACGATTGTGCCACAGTCCTCTGTGAGCTCTGTAAAGGGGAGGGCCACCTGCATCAAGGCCATTCAGTCCAGCCCATTAGGGTGGCTGCTGAACAGCGTCGCAAAGAACTGGGTGGGAAGCTGACTGCTCTGCGCGATGTGATGGGCGAAATTCAGAAGAAAAAGACAGCTATTGAAAACATTAACAAATCCTTGAGATTAAAGTACCAGGCAGTGCAGCAGGATTATACCACAGCTGAGCAACGTCTTCAAGAGGAACTCAGGAGGTCTCGAAGGACATTCACAGCTTCCATGGCAGAAGCAGAAAAGCTAAATGGGCATGCCCTGGAGGAGCAGACATATCTCCTTAACATTGCAGAGGTTAAAGTGGTGTCACGCTGTGATTATCTGACAATGCTTGTGAGGCAGAGTGATATTGCTTTACTAAAGGACGATGGCGGAGGCTGCGATGATGAAGAGCTGGATTTGAGGAGCAGCTTGCCCACCATGTTTCAGCTGCAAGAGCCAGAGCTTGTCAAAACAGTGCACTCTAAACCCGTGGAAGTGGGCCAAGTGACCACAAACACTTACACCGTCAATACAGATGATGAGGAGTTGGAGATTGCTCTTGAGGGTGATGTAGAGAGTGTAGCTGGCGCAGTAGGGGCTACAGGCGGTGCAACGGGGGCTCCGGTGGATCTTTACCGGGACATTGACATGGTTGCGGCTGTGGAGGAGGCGGTATGTGGTTCACCGGGCAGCTTTAAGTCGAAGTCCATGGATGCAGGTGGGGGATCCCCGGGAGGAGCCGGGGCAAGTGCGGGGCCCGCCGTCTGCCAGTTTGTGAAGAAGATGGGCTTCAAGGGAACTCTACCCGGCCAGTTCAATTTACCAGTCAGCATCTGTGTGACATCACAGGGCGAGGTCCTGGTGGCAGACCGCGGCAACTACCGCATCCAGATCTTTAATCGCAAAGGTTTCCAGCGTGAAATCCGCCGGAATGCCAGTAGCATCGACAACTTTGTCCTGAGCTTCCTGGGTGCTGACCTGCCTAATCTCATCCCCTTATCCATTGCTGTCACTCCTCAAGGCCTGATTGGGGTCACTGACAACTACGATAACTCAGTTAAAGTCTACACCATGGACGGACACTGCGTGGCTTGCCATAAGAACCAACTGATTAAACCATGGGGCATTACTGCCATGCCATCGGGCCAGTTTGTGGTGTCAGATGTGGAAGGTGGCAAGCTGTGGTGTCTCGCGGTGGACCGCAATGTGGGTGTCGTCAGCTACAACCGACTGTGCTCCGCGGTGCGGCCAAAGTTTGTGACGTGCGACGCGGCTGGAACGGTCTACTTCACCCAGGGCCTGGCTCTGAACTTCGAGAAACGCCACAATGAGCCCCACCTGGAGGGTGGCTTCTCTATCGGCTCAGTGGATACCGACGGCCAGCTAGGCAAGCAGCTCAGCCATTTCTTCTCAGAGACGGAGGACTTCCGCTGCATCACTGGCATGTGCGTGGACGCCAACGGGGATTTGCTGGTAACGGACAGCGGCAGGAAAGAAATCCTCCAGTTTCCCAAAGAAGGTGGATTCAAAATTCTCATCCAGGAAGGGTTGACCTGCCCTGTGGGAGTGGCAACCACCCAGAAAGGACAACTGCTAGTGCTGGATTGTTGGGACCACTGTGTCAAAGTCTACACATACATCCAGAGGAGGCACTCCTCCACTTCCTAGAGGAATAATCCAGTCCACAGGAGCATGAGAGGTTTAGTAGGTATGTGCTGGCAGGTGTGTATGGAAGTTTTGAAGAAGGTAGAACCACACTGTTATCTGTCACTTTAGTTTGGCTGCAGTCCAAACAGTTCTCGCTCCAGCTTTCATTGGGTTATTAAATGAATGTTCTAGTCAGTTTGGTTCAGTTTAAAGCCTACTGGATTTCATTTTAATACCTCAAATTAAAAATCAGCTACTTAAGCTGCCTCTTACCTGATTATTGTAACACATCACAACACTTAAGCAGACTTTGCAACATTTTTACATCAAAGAATGCTGGCACACGTTGTCACATTAAAAAAAGCGAATTAAGCCATTGATGTCAAAGCTAATGCAGGCACAAAGTACAGATGATCTTTCTTCCTTTATTATTGACTGCTACATCCACCGATCAGCCTGACTGTGTGTGATGCACAGCTTTCACTGATTTGGCTCAGCTTTGCATAAGGAAAAACGGGAGGACGAGGAGCTGAAAATGAACATGTATTTACATATGAAATAAAGCATACCAAGGCTTTTGGCCTGTGAAGCACTTTATTATTGACACAACACTGTTTCCTAGTGTTAGGTTATAGTAGCACAGACTAACATTGATGTTGCTGAATGCAGCTGGCAGCTTTAAAGTTTACTGTGCAATTAGCTAATGGCAAAACAGTAACAAGTATCAGCATTCATTGAATTGCATTCAGTAACATTCAGGGAACATTAAGTGTAGAATATTAAGTTACCTACAGGAAAGAGAACGATGGTGAAATTTCATTTACTGGGGTTTTGTGGGTTTACATTTTTTACTGACATTGTCAGGAAAAATATTTAGTTTTTGTTTATTTGAGGTTAACTGAGTTAATGCAATCAGAGTTTGGGGTTACTGATGTCTAATTAGTACACTACATTATTGCTATCATGTTTTTCCAGTACTTAGCCTGTGTACATCAGCCACAGCCAGAGTAACCATTTGACATTTTGGAGCAGTGTATGAACTAAAGGGAGCTTTCAGAGGAAAGGTTACTGAAATCTACCGTGTGATCTACAAACCCTTTTTACTCTCTATTTCTGTCATTAAACCTTCTCCTACTGACTTCCCAGCCACAGCCACTGTTATGTCACTAGCGGGAAGGGTGAGGTCACAATCTGGAAGATATATTCCTGTCATCTGCTCAGATCCTATTCTAGTCGCTCTGCTCAGTCATACATCTCGCTACAATTTCTGGCCTCTACATCCCCCTTCTGCTGGCTTTTTTCTAACCTGCAGCATTAAAGTTAGCTTTGAGCAGTTTTACCTAAGATCACACTGTAGCCCCTAGTTTTAATCCTACTTCTCAGAAAGAATTGGGTCTATTATAAACAGAGTGGCAACGTTTTAATGATCTTTGGAAGGCCCTTAAAATTGCAGGGCTGTGTTTCTGCTCTGCTTTATATTCCTTATGGGTTCACCTTCAGCTAAATCATATAATCGTCTATAAATTATACCTGTATACCAATTCTTAATAGCTCCAGCACCCAGACCACATTAAGGGTACAGCAGACGTACAACTTCAAAATGTTTGCAAACTTCGTTCAAACTTATTCCAGAGAACTTGTTCCATGCCAGCGTTTCCACCGGCTTAGCTTGTGGTTTCACAATCTTTGTAGGGATCAGTGGCAGGAGTGTTCAGAATAGCACTGCTGGGATAATGATGAGTGAAAACTCCAGCATCACTCACCAAACCTGGCTATGTTGCACTGGGATGTTGGTTTGCATGTCCCTATGTCTCCCTCAGGTTTCAAATTCAACACTAGAAATCTTGCAACCTGAGTTCCCTGGTGCTGGTAGATATGGGTAAAAACAACATCCATATCCATATAGTGTTTTTGCTAGTAACTGCTTGTGTTGTGTCATTCAATTCCTCAATATCTGCAACTATATAATTTTATCATGTAGCTTTATTTAATTTTTCAGCCCATATGAAGCATTAGATGCTTTCAGGTAAAGTAACAATAAAAGACACTTTTAATCAAAATATTTAGTGGCCTAAATATGGGGAATCAAGTTAATCATTGAAACCCACCCATCAATACTCTGTGTAACATACTCTGTCTGTAAAGTCATAAATAGTGACTATGCCTGCTCTGGGGCCATATTTATTTTCCAGTCCAGATTGGCTCATGAGAGCCTATCACTACTATACTGACGCAGTTTCAGCCTTAAAAATGAACAATTTCACAAAGCTGACCTTAACTCTGCACCAAGAGCCCTATTAAACAGCAACATACAAATATACATATCTGAGCATCAAACTATCGTAAACAATACACATTTTTAATATTTCTACATCAGCAAAGGGTTAAGGAGAAAAAAAACAACTGAATTTATGTATCAGCTGAAGTTCAGTCATATCCTTGTGCTTTTTTAAAATTTATTTCACATGATGTATTTGTTTTATTGTTAGACCATATTATATCTCTACACTAAACTCATAGTTTTAATTCAACATAGCTGCATGCCAACCTTGCCATCAAAACTGTTTTTTTCAGTGCTTACAGTTTATTCAAGTTGGTCACTAGAAGTAGTCATTACTATTCAAACTTAAACAGTAACAGAAAAATGCATAAAATGCTAGAAAAATCAAGTGTCCTTGTGTCAGTGTGCTGAACATCAGTGTGTGTCACATCACCTGAATATGTTTTATTATGTGTCATTGGAAAGAAGTTATTTTCTTGCATACTTCTTCAGAGTTCATTTATTTACACTATTGGATTGTAATACTGCAATATGTCCATGAACCAAACTACCATGTGTTTAAGGTGTTTTGTCCTTTACAGGCTGTGAATTTTACAATGTGTCAAACACATTTAAGACATCTCTGTTTAGTCAAATTCATGTTTGTATTGTTGATTATCTGAGTGCAATAAACATTTATGAAACAAACAAACATTTTTTTTCTTCATACTATTCTTACCTTCTTCTAAATTCTTTTTATCAAATATGTGTATTTGTACAATGTTCAGTTCTCCATGTGACCCTACATAGTAAAAGCAACCCTCTTCTGTCAATATAATTGGCTGGCTGTAGAGATTGTAAATTGTAGCTGTAGATGTTGGTATGCAATAATGTAGTGCATGTTTTGACACCCATTTTCAAAAGCAGGAAGGTCACTTTATAGCCTTGGTATGTCTTAAAGTATTCCATCCTTTACTTCAGTAAGCAGAAAATAAGTAAGATATAAATTATGAATATAATAATACTGATTAACATTAACTTGTGTGTATCATGTATAGTATGTGGTTGAGGAGGATGTCATTCTAGATTTGTTTGTATGATGTACAATACCCTCAAAACTGCAGTGCAGTAGAGTAAAATGCAAAACATGGAGATAAGTAAACTATAAGTAGTTGTACTTAAGTAAACATACTACTTTCCACCATTGCTTGAAGTGTACTACTGTACTACTTCATCAAATTTTATGCACTTTAATTAGCACAACTTCCCTTCTTGTGCTGTGATTCTTCATGCCAGGACAGGCCCAATGTGCCATGGAGTCAGGAATAAGCATGTTTGTATTCCAATCAAACATTGTATCAGGTAAAGGAGAAAAATGCTCATCATTAAAAGCACTAAGTGTAATGTTTTGTTGAAATAAAATCTGGAACATGTCCCTGAAATAAAGCATGTTGGCAATGTAAACACATTTGTTATATAAGAGGGGTTGGGTGTTCCTGGCCCCCATTTAACCCCAAATCAGTTTATTTTTATTTTTCCTGCAAGGTGAGCAAGAACTGTATGTAATAGTAAGAGTATTAGTATCAGTCAGCACATTTCTTTGGATCATGAATAAACAAGATTAAAAAACAGCACTTGAATGGAGCAGTGCTGGAAAATACTTCTGGGATGCTGTAAAGTCACACTGCTGTTTAATTCAATTCATGCAGCTTATGCTGCATTTTAACCAGGAGGCGAATTAAGGCATGAAGTCTTTAAACATAACCCAGTTTAGTTTATAGTTAGGCAAAGTATAACCCCCACCTCCTGTTAAATTATAGTAAACTTTGCTCTACTTTTGCTTACCGTGTATTTGTGATAGATTGCTTTTATGGAGAAAAGGTTATGTTGTCCTAGTTAAATTTGATAGTATCCCCATCACTCCTGAAGTTACTACTATTTTACCCTTTCTCAAAACATAGTCTACTCTCCTCCACATACATTTGTTAAAATTTAAAAGTAAAAAAAAAAAAATGTAAAAAGACTCCCCACTCAAAAAATCAATGTGAGGACAGCGTCTCCATTCATCCCTCTAGAATTCACCAATTTGGCCTTCCTTCCTGTCTATCAGCACACTCACCTTTCTGATACTGCAGCCAGAGCTGCTGCTGGGCCTTCTTGCTGGGGAAGTAGATGCTGCAGCTGAGCTCGGAACCATACAGGGCCTCAGACACATAGTGGCTGCCGTATTGCTGGAGAAAAGCCAGCAGCTCCTCGCGTGTGCTCTCTGCTGACAGTGTCTTCAAAACCTTAGAAAAGCCTACCAGGTCGAGAAGGAGATGAAAGAATAGTGATTTTGTAAGAAGGCGAAGTACGCTTTGGATATTAAGGTCAGGCTTACGTGTGTTGTTATAAATGTGCAAAATCAAGATCTAGGCCACAGACAGATGCATAAATAAAGAGACAGAAAGATCAAGAATATACATCAAAGCTGTATAGGCTGGTAGAAGAGAGTAAAAGAAACATAGGGTATTGATCATAATGCATATATCTTTATATATACTGTATATATGTGTGTGTGTGTGTGTGTGTGGTGATTTGTGATGTTAAGAAATCACAAAGTCAATTGTGATATTTGGCCCCTGACCTGTTGATAAGGTGATGGAGCTAAGTTTGACTTTGTACAGATTACTACGCACTCTCCACTGTTGAACCATAGGATAACCCACTGCCTCACTGAATTGAGCATCTCCTATGAAAGACAGAAAAAAGGGAGCAGGGAAACAAATTAAGACAGACGAATCACAGCTAATACATCAATCTAAAACAATGACAAAACTCAGATTCATAAAGAGCTGCTGAAATTCAAAATAAATGAATTCATAAATAAAAATCCATCATTTCATTTGAACAGTTTATTGCAGATCTATTGTTATCCATTATTGCCTTAACATCATTTATTATCACAGCCCATATCCCAGCTGCTCCTGGATCAATTGCAGATATATAGTGCAACTTGAACTCCAATTGGATTGCTGACATTAGAAGTGGGAGCAATCTCGCCTTTCTCTGCAATTCAATTACCAAACTTTCACACCAGTTTAGAACTAAAGCCACAAAAGTGAAGAGCAAAGGGGAGAAAAAAATCTGCTTACGGGAACCTTGATCCTGTGCCTCTGGAAAGCGTTTTCCACCTGAGACACTCATACACGTTGAAAAAGGGCAATTTAGTTTCTATGTGTGTGTATGTGTGTGTATGTGTGTGTCCAATTCTGGTGAAAGCAGAACCCAAGCGAAATGTGGACCGAATGCCAATTTAGCTAATGGAGGGATTAGGGAGCAGAGGTGGAGGTTTCAAGCCAAATGTCTAAGTGACTCTGTCCCCCACAAGATGGGGTGGAACATTCAAGAAAAGGATAAAAGGATGAAACGGGAGGTTAAGTATTAGAGTTTACAAGGTCCAGTACATGTGTGTATATGTGTATGCGCTTGCATACTTTGTGTTCATGGTAGCATTTTCAGTTGGGGTTTGGGTTTTAACAGCACAATGGCACAGCCTATATATTTCTAAATGATTTTGGGACCTGGATTTCACAAAACAGAGGCGGTGCATGAGACACTGGCTTTTTGCAATTACCAGTCTCTATATCAAACATTTACTCAAGCCTGGACAAGTCTGGACAAATAGCTGTAGTCGGTTCTGAATTGATTTCACAGTTGACTACTATATGAATGGATCACATAGAGATAATAGAGCTGCCACTGAAAAATGCAATTAATCAAATACATTTGTCTGTTACTCTCAATAGGAGAGACAGACAAAGAAAAAACATCATCCACATCCCCACTCTCACACACCCTCACCTGTGAGAAGCTGCAGGTTGGGAAGGGGCTCAGACAACACCCCTCGACATTGTTCCTCTACTGGTAAGGGGATGACCATGAGGCCATCGGCTAGCTGGGGAAAGTCCTTAATGAAGTTGTTGTCCCTGAGAAAGAAAGAAAGAAAGGGCAGACCACATTTAGTTCCTCAAGTACTAGTACACATTGGAAAAACTCTGCTACAAGTAACTCCTACACTGAAAATGTTACTTGAAGGTCCATTGTGTAGGGTTTAGTGCCATCTAGTAGCCAGTGTTTGGTTTGTCTATTATACTGGCAAAATGGTATTAAACTATTCATGGCTATGTTTTCATTAGTGTATAATCACCTGAAAAAAGAATTGTCATGTTTTTGTTACCTTAGAATAAGCTATTTTTATCTATAGACGCAGCGAGTCATCTTCCATGGAGGCTGCCATTTTGAACCACCATAATTTTACAGTAGCCCAGAAGGGACAAACCAAATACTAGCTCTGGATTGGGTAGTTTGTGTTTTTCACACATTTTGTGGACACTGCATATTTCTCCTTTACAGTTGGAAAGAGAGGGAGTTTGAATCTGCAACTACACCCAGATACAACTAAATCCTATACACACTGGTCCTTTAAGTAAAAGTATGTAAGTATAATCAGGAAAATATAATAGTATACAAAGTAAGGAAGGAGGGTTATGACATATATCATTAGAATTACTAATTGCTCATGCATTGATGTAAAAGCAGGATTTTACTCTTCTATTTTGTATAGGACTAAAAACTAATGATCATTTTATCCATTAGTCGTCAAACAAATGTAGTGTAGTAAAAAGTACAATATTTCCCTCTAAAAAGTAGATGTCTGAAATGATATGAAAATACTCAAGGAAAGTACGTACTTGAATATTTGAGTGTACTTTGTTGCATTTTACCACTGCATATTTTGAAGATGTTAATACCTAAATTGTCAAGTATTTATTTATAAGGTAATTATCCAGTAAATGTTTGTACCAAAAGGTAACAAACAGTGACTACAAAGTATCACACCTCTACTTCATCTAGAGTTGGTGTTTAACAGTCAGGAGTGCAGCTACAGGTTCTGAACTCCATGAAAACAACTCAACAACAGTGGTCACAATAAATATCTACAATCCCAGCATGTTCCACTGCCCCTGTTGGCTGCCGGCCTTCTGAATCATTCAGATACAGGGATTTGGAGATTTCACTGTTTTTCTGTCTGGCAAGTTTTTCTATGATAATGTTTTATGCGCTGACATTTTTCATCAGCTCTGCCTTACAGAAGTAAGAATGAAGGTCTTATTATTGAGGAAACATTGAACCTCTGAATACATCAAGGTTGTTTCATGCCTTATGTCATCATGGTGTTTTGTTCCATCCACGAGTGAGTAGGGACAAGGCCAAAACATGTGAGTGTGTGTGTGGGTGTGTGTGTGTTTGTATAATGCTTGGCCGCCCAATAAAGAAACTAGTTATGTTTCCCAGTTTGAGGGCAGAACAGAAAGCTGTAGCCAAAGATAACACAGACCCCCCGTAATCTCTCTCTTTCTCTCTGCTGGAGACGGTAGGCACAAGAAAGGATGGTAATGAGAGAAGAAGTGTGAGTTGTGGGAGGGAAGGGTAGAAGAAGAAGACCCACATACTGTAGTGAAAAGTAAGTCTTTTCCATCTATTTGCACATCCATATGATATCACAGTGGACAAATCACCTGCAAAATAAATATCAACAGTTCTACAAGTAGAGAGATAGGGTACATTCAGCTCCCATTTTGTTTAGAAGATAGACCGTTCTGTTTGAACCAAAGCAGCTGCAGTTCATTTCCTGTCAAAAAGATGAGTTGTCTTGCTGCATTCTGAGAGCATGGCAAGCAGCAGCAATTCCTATAATCCACTTTTATGGGACCAAGTCTCAGAGCACAGACCTTGTGCCACAGAGACTGGGGGGGGGGGGGGGGGTAGCTTCACTCTTCTTGATAGCAATTTTTCATCCTGTTCCTCTCTTTTCTGTCTCTCTCTTTGCTTCCTCTAACCACAAAAGCCTGTTAGACGCAATCACAGCCTTAGTGTTACAATGGAGGGGTGGAAGGATTGACTCAAGGGCAGAGGATGAGAGGAGAGAGGGAGAGAAGAGGTGCTGTAAAAAGATTACCGTGGCTTATGCTCACAGAAAACATATTGATTGCTAAATTAAATCAGCCAGCTTCACGCTGAGGCTCAGAGAACCTTTGGAGGCGTGTGGACCAAGACGATATGTTGCTTTATGGATTTTCAAGCCCAGATGTGGAGTGTCCTTGACACTCTGTAAGTAGTTGCTTTTCTTTAGCCAGGGTGCTCATGCAACACCCATTCACATACTAGGATTGAAAGACATTAAGTGTAAGAGGGTGACGTGTCTCATGGTTCCTTGCAAAGTTGCTCAAAAACAAAACTGAAAACCGACTCTATTTGCGGGATGAAAGGAGTGTGACGATTTAGTGCCGCAGGTTTTCACAGTACCTGAGTGCACATAAAATCATTAACTGTCCTTAACCTTCTCCTTCTTCCTCTACCCTTGAGGGAAAAACATCTAAGGCAAGCGTACATTGTTGTGGCATCTGTCCCTTTTTACAGAGCTTAAGTGGCCAGGCAGCATTCACAACAGCGAAAGTCTAAATACTGAAGATTTTTGTTTATGTGGTTTTGTACCACAGTCCCTTGGACTGTGTATGTGTGTGTGTGTGTGTGTATGTATGTATGTATGTGTATGTGGCAGGAAGGGAGCTTGAAGCATCTATTCCATTGACAGCTCATTAGGAGGAGACATTTATCTGTACCACTACACCCCAAACATACCAATGTGGTTAACAAGATGAGCCGGTTGCCTGTCTTTCAAGAAAAATAATCTCCATCTTACACAAATGGTTACAATATAGTTGAGCTGTTAGCTGGCCATGGCTAACTTATCTCTCATTACAGCGACAAAATTACATTTGTTACACTGACTACATTGACTTGACCTAACGAGTTTAACAAGCAGCAAACCTGGCATTAGGATTAATGTGTGTGCTGGCCCAGTGATATCACTTACTGAAACTTAAATGGAATAGCACCATCATGATTTATCATTACTAGTTGCACCTGTGCTTTTCTTGCAACGATAAGTCAAAGTGTCTGCTGTGAGAAAAGGTCTATAGAATGCCAGCCAGCATTGTGAATTTGCCAACCCAGCTCCATTCATTGTATACAATATTAAACTAGTTGAGTTAAATGAATTATCTGTGTGACAGAACACATGCTGGACATGCTGGTTGTACTCAGCCCTAACGTTCAGCGTGTTTCCTATTTTTCACAGAGGACATTTTGACAAGTAACAGTTAGGTGAGTCACATGAATAAATCCTTATACCTGGTATTTTACATTAGGTACTATTAATTTAAATCAATAATGTATTATTTTTCATAATAGTTCATTTGAAAGAAAAAAAGCAAATGCATAGCCATTAATTAGACTTGTGCTTTTCCTATGTGACATGTAAAAATGTCTGCCTCGAGTAGGCCTTTCTACCCCCTTCCCTACCTCCTTGAATGAACCTTCTACAGAGATAAAACATAGGAGTTATGTGTACATACTGCCACTAATGAGGACTAACATTTTATACAGGACTTCATTAGCCAAATTTAGAATACTATATATGTATTTGGCATATGTATATTTTAGCTATTTTGCTTTATTTGGACATTGACAGTAGAGAGAGAGGGAATGACATGCAACAATGGGCCCAGACCGGATTCAAACCTGGGTCGCTGCAGCAGGTACTCAGCCTTGATATGTGGTGCGCAGTCTACCAGGTGAGCACCTTATTTTGACATATTTTTTTTGTATTTAAAAAAAAAAAATTTTAATCCAGCATTAGGTTTAACCTATACTCTGTCCAAGTTCCTAGCCCATTATTATACCAGCCATGTTTATTCAGGAACCACACTTACACTCACCCACATACACAGCCTTACCTCACTTATCAACCTCCCATATACCAAACCACATGTCTGGACTGGACTTGCCTGCAAACTTGTGTATTTACTCATGTTTCATTCAGTACCCATGTGTGTTCATTAAGGGCAGTGGACACTGGGCTCCCTCCTGGCCAAACAGGCCTCCCATCCTACTTGAGTCTACAAGTGGCAGACTCTCCCCATTTGAATGAAAATCTCCAAAACACAAGCTTTACAAATGATATCTGGTGGGATGAATACAAATATTCAAGACCAGTTCATGCATATATATTAAAACTCTCTCTTACTTCTCATCTCTCCCTCTTTCTCTCATTCTCCATGTCTTTTCCTGTCCTGAAATGTGCTATTTCAATTCAAACACCGTAAAGATACATTGGATTATTAAAGCATATTGAACCTCAGGTCTCACATGCAATTTTTGTTTGTTTGTTTTGTATTTCCCAGCCTGGCATCAATGTCACTATTTCTCCTATAGAGTGTAACAATTGTTTGCTGTTTGCTTCGCCTTGTCCCCAGTGGTAACCCTTTCTGGTTTTCTCATCCCCTATTCCTTCCATGTCTCATTCACTCTTCGAGCTACACCTGCTCTCTCCTCCTAAATCACAGGCATTCTGCATGATAGGCACAGATGAGAGCTATCTACAAGTCAATTTAGAAAAATGTTTTTGTGCCTCTCTCTGTGTGTGTTTGATTGTGTATCTGTCTATGCGAGTCTATAATAGGCATGAAGGCTACAAGTCACTTGTGTAAGAACAGGTGTTCATGCATATGTCTGAGTGAGTATATTTATCAGAGTTTGTGACTGTGTAACCGATATTGAGTGGTACTTATCTAAACATTGTCTGAGGTAATTGGTCCTTGTGCTGTTTCGTCCGTGTATAAACCTCATCGCCACATCACAGCACTGATCAGACACATTAAACCATACTCACTACATCTTAACTGCACCGACATTACACAACATCTCAGTTCATTATCCACAACTTCGAAGACTCATCTCGACAACAATACGGACTAATGGTGCTTTTTCAATAGTGGCTTCTGTTGGAAAATCACACCCACCACTGGGCTTTTTCCCCATGCTGTTTAAAAATGTTACTCATCTACCGAATATGAGGTTAAAA